CTATGAAAATATACCTAAAACATATATAAAATATATACCTAGAAAATATAGCTAAAAAATATATATAAAATATATACCTAGAAAATATACCTAAAAAACGAATAAATATATTTATTTATTTAGTTTGCTGTGTTTTTACTACAGATATGTGTGAAAGTAACCTACGTTGGGCACTGACTTTTCTTCTTCTTGCTTGCACAAACTATCTACCTGTTCCTATAAAAACACAAATTGAACAATGTAAACTTAAATAAAATAAAACTAACCCCAAACCTTTAAGGGCTAATTTTCTCTATGTGCGTTGACAGACTTTTTACTGCAGTATAAACCGTATGTCTCCACAGGGCACACTGGAAACAATTGTTTCCTATGTGTCCCACTCACAGCTGCTGTAAAATACAGACATGCTGTATTTTATCACAGTGCATGTCAATGTACAGCAACACAACGTGCTGCGGTATGTTGCTGCGACTGAAGTAAACGGTGTGTACACTTCTCATAAAGTTTGTAAAAAACGAAGGGAGCCGTGTGATGTGCTGAATCGTGCTGGCAACGGGCAGATGCTGGAGTAGTAAGGACCTTCAGCAGTTCTCCCTTATGGTGTGAATACAGCCTGAAGGTTCCTTATAATTATCAGAATTCTGCAGTAAATTAATAAAAAAATTAAACTGCGCTTAGTGCTTAACTGCTTTCCCAATCGCGCTATAGCCGAAAAAGACGGCTACAGTGAGGTTGTCCGGGCCCCTGCACGCCCCCCAGCGGCACACACACCGCGCTGTCGATGAGGACACAGCTGATCACGTGATGAGGTAAAAGGCCAATCACAGCTGCCTTTTACCACGTGTTCAGCCGTGTCCAATGACACATTAGATCACAATGTAAATACAGTTGCCGGTTATCGGCTGCACTTTCCTCACACTGTCACAGCTTGAGGAAAATACGGCTGATAACCAGCAAATGTTGACAGGGGAGATCTGCACTGATAATCAGGGTACTTATCAGTGCCCTGATTATCCGTGTAGCCCATCAGTGCCCATCATTGCTGCATATCCGTGCATCATCAGTGCCTCCTCATGATGCCTATCATGCTACCTATCAGTGCTGCTGCATATCAGTGCCCATCAGTGCATACCTATCAGTGCCCTTCAGTACCGCCTATCAGTGCCCATCATTGCTGCATATCAGTGCATCATCAGTGCCTCCTGAATGCCTATCAGTGTTACCTATCAGTGCCCATCAGTGCAGTGCTACCTATCAGTGCCCTTCAGTGCTACAGTACCCATACTTGCTGCCTATCAGTACCCATCATTGCTGCATATCATCAGTGCCACCCCCATCAGCGCCCATCAGTGCTGCCTATCAGTGCAGCCTCATCAACGCACATCAGTGAAGGAGAAAAATTACCTGTTTGCCAAATTTTATAATAGAAACAAAAGAAAACCTTTTTTTTTTTTTTTTTTTTTTTGCTTTTTTTTTTTTTTGCTCTTTTTTTAGTTTACAGTGCAAAAAATAAAACCCCCAGCGGTGATTAAATACCACCAAAAGAAAGCTCTATTTGTGTGAAAAAAATGATAAAAATTTCATATGGGTACAGTGTTGCATGACCGTGCAATTGTCATTCAAAGTGCGACAGTGCTGAAAGCTGGAAATTGGCCTGGGCAGGAAGGGAGTGCAAGTACCCGGTAGGCGAGGGGTTAAACAAAGATCAGATTTTCCAGCATAAAAATCCAAATTGTTTCAAGCACCATAACCCGAACCTGTTGTGGGGAACATGTGCTAAGGACACCATCTCAGGTGTGTGTTAAAATCAAGCGTTAAAATAACATGCAGACGTGTGTAAAGGGACACCAAATCCAGGTAAATACGTGTACATCAACACCACGTGCAAAAGAACTATAAATGTCCATCAATGTATATCCGTCTGCACACCTGCGACACCCGTCACCTTGTCACACGCAGCCTCTCACCGATAATGAAGAAGAGGTCTAAATTGGAGATGTGTGGACTTGCTGCATCGCAGGATCGCAGATTAAACCCACCAAGGGCTCCACAGTCAACCTCCTCTCCACAGATGTTACCCAGCAAAGGAAATCAAATGACAGCCTTCCATAGCGTAACTCACTCAGATTTATCGACTTAAAAGCCGTATACCTACTTACATGAACGTCAGAAAAAAGCACGTTAAATCGATAAACACCACCGCTAGTACCGGCTCCGGCAGATGCGGGTGACGTCAGCACAGGATCCGACACAACGTACATTTCATCAGGATGTTCTCAAGGGGATTGGCTGAGTGCTCTTTACTACTGCAGGGTCAGTTACATTTTCTCCATTAGCGGCCCACACTTACCTTTCCTTCGCTTCTTCATTGCTCTGTTTGGTTGTTGGGATCCAGAGATTCTGCCTTGCTTAACCCCTTCATGCCTAAGGCTGGCCATACATTATACAATTTTCTTGAGATTTTTGGTTTAGATTTACCAAAAACCATATTTATTTATTTATTTCAGGTACTTATATAGTGCTGTCAATTTACGCAGCGATTTACATATATATTGTACATTCACATCAGTCCCTAACCCTCAAGGGGCGTACAATCTAAGGTCCCTAACTCACATTCATACATACACATACTAGGGACAATATAGACAGGAGCCAATTCACCTACCAGCATGTCTTTGGAGTGTGGGAGGAAACCGGAGCACCCGGAGGAAACCCACGCAAGCACAGGGAGAACATGCCAACTCCATGCAGGAGGCACCATGGTCGGGAATCAAACCCATGACCCATTTTACTGCAAGGCACTGTGCCGCCATATAATAGGAGGTCAAACCTAACAACACTTTCAGTTGTATCCAATTAGGCAGGTCCTTGCACTACATAGTTAAAGGTAAATCTAAAGGGAAGTGGGCAGAAATTGGACAGAAAATTGTATAGTGTATGGCCAGCCAAAGGGTCAAACAAATCTTAATGCCTAAGCACAATTTTGCAACGTTGACCTGTTGTAGTAAAACCGTCCGTATCATCACAACTACTTTGTACATCCAGGTGGATTATACCGCGTTTTTTTCAGGACAAATTGGGCTTTCATTTGGTGATAAATGGTCATGGATATCTCCTGATTTTTTTTTTTTTATTATCAAAGGAAAACTGGACCAAAAAAGTAAAAAAAAATGTTTTTTTTTATTTAGCTGTGTGTTTCTTGTTACTACCATAACCTACCACCAAAGAACAACCCAAAATAAATTCTCCAGCTCTTGATGATCGCAGCGATACCATATATGTGAATGTTATTTGTTGTTTGTACCCGGAGTACAGCCCAGAAACAATAGTGCGCATTTTGTTTTTGTTTTTTACCTAAAACACATTGACATTAACACCAAATAATTTTTTTAAATCCTGACCTTTGACCCTGGCCTTTTGATTTTGACCTTTGACCCTGACCTTAGCCCAAACACTTACCCTGGCACTGAACCAGATCAAACCTTGATCTAGGTATTTTTTTCTTTATTTTTAATTTTATTTTTTAATATTTATTTATTTTATTTTTTTACAAAAAAATTTTTCCCCTCATGCCAGAAGTTAGAGAGATACAATGTATCTCTCCTCCATTCATAGAGAGAAAAAAAAAAAGGGGGCCGGGCTGTACAGTGACTGATCACTGTGATAGCTAATCAGAGGCTAACGCAGCGATTATGTGACCCGGAATCGGGAGTACCGGGTCCCGATCGTTAGAACGGGACCCGGTGTTCTCAGTGACAACCGCGGTCTTTGTGCTGGGAGCGCGCCGTGTGGCGCGCTCCCAGCAGACAGGTATGCAAATATGCTGCCCCATGGAAAAAAGTCCAGTTCTGTGAGGCCGCATATTTGTGTTACGTCGGCGTCAAGGGGTTAAAGGATAAGTTTCCCTTTTGGACAAAAATAATAAATTCACATTTTTTTTCAGGTAAAAATGTGCATTTATTATTTTTGTCCAAAGGAGCCTGGAAAGCGTTACACCAATGATCATTAGATCGCTGATGCCATGCAGGTCTCCTGCAGACCTGTCAGAGTGTCTCCTTGTAATGGGATGTACGAGTGAGCAGATATACTGACAGGAAGCTTCAATGAACTACCACAGAGCTCCTCAGCACCATGATAGTTCATTGAAGCCGCTAAGGCTGCTGGGACTTGTAGGCACTCATTCACAGAACACTATGAATGAGTCACGCGGCTGTGTGGGCGGAGCTCCGCATGGCCACGCTTTTTTCAAATCTGACAGATAGTACGGGGAAACTTCCCCTCATACTATCTGTCAGAGAGAAGGGGGCCGATGGGCGTGGCTGCGGCTATGGGAATATGTTACATGTTGCACCCTAAAAACGTGGGGAACATGTAGCATGTTACAAAGGTGAACTTATCCTTTACTGCCGGTTCATACCATGACAACGCAGTCCAGAAGTGTTCCGCATGCGTTTCCACATGTACGTTTTTGATGCTTTCCAGTTCATTTTTTCCCCCTCTCCTTTTCTTCAATTGATATAGAGACATGTGCAGTCTAGCGCGTTCTGGTGCGTTTTTTATGCGTTTTTACCTCGTTCCAGTGCAGTTCTGTGCAGGAAAAATGCAGCCTGCTCTACTTTTTTTTTCTGCAACCGGAACGTACTGGAACTGCAAGCGCTGATGGGAACTCTGACATTGACAACCATATCACCTACTTTCTGTGCACTTTGGATGCAGAAAAAAAGCAACTGAAACACATGTAGCCCTTAACCACTTGCCATCCGGCCTCTGTATATAAACGGCCGGATGGTGGCAGTCCAGGGGTGGGGTGGCCGTTCATTAATGGCGCCTGCCATTTTGGACTGTGCGTGCTTCCGGGGAGCGCGCAGCACCGCAACCCGGTGCCCGCTGTGTCCTTCAGACACAGTGGAACACCGATCGTTGTACGGGACCTCTCTGCGAGGTCCCGATCACAAGAATAGTAGTAAGCAAGGTGTCATTTCTGACATCATTGCTTACTATGTGTGAGATCTGTGACTAATCACAGAGGTCACATGGTACAGGGCTATTCACAACAGCCTTGTACCATGTGACAAGCCGTGACCAATCACAGCTCACTCAGTAGTTCTCAATGGCTGCAAGAATGCAACCAGAGAGAAGGAGAAATGATTGCTTTTACAGCCTTTATGGCTGTAAAAGCAATCAGTGTATAAAAAAAAAAAAAATATTCATCACCCCCTACAAGTAATACAGTGTCACCATACTGCTAGGGTGACAGTATGTAGAAAAAAAACCCAGAAATAATAATATAAAAAAATAAAATAAAAATGTTAAAATGTTTTAAAAAAATTATAATTTTTGGTTATAAACTAATTTGGGTTATTTTTTTTTTTACTAAAAAGATAACTGAATTAATTTTGGGCAAGATTTATGATGACATATTATTTATTTGCAAAATTTTATAACAAAAACACTTTTTTTTTCACAATTTTTTAACTTTTTCATTTATATAGCAAAAAAATAAAAATCCCAGTGATGAATAAATACCACCAAAATAAAGCTTTATCTGTCTCAAAAAAATGCTAAAAATTCATATGGATCCAGTGTTGCATGACCGCGCAATTGTCATTCAAAGTGTGATAGCGCTGAAAGCTGAAAATTGGCCGGGACTGGAAGGGGGGTGAAAGTGTCCGGACTGGAAGGGGGGGGAAAGTGTCCGGACTGGAAGGGGGGTGAAAGTGTCCGGACTGGAAGGGGGGTGAAAGTGTCCGGACTGGAAGGGGGTGAAAGTGTCCGGACTGGAAGGGGGGTGAAAGTGTCCGGACTGGAAGGGGGGTGAAAGTGTCCGGACTGGAAGGGGGGTGAAAGTGTCCGGACTGGAAGGGGGGTGAAAGTGTCCGGACTGGAAGGGGGGTGAAAGTGTCCGGACTGGAAGGGGGGTGAAAGTGTCCGGACTGGAAGGGGGGTGAAAGTGTCCGGACTGGAAGGGGGGTGAAAGTGTCCGGACTGGAAGGGGGGTGAAAGTGTCTGGACTGGAAGGGGGGGAAAGTGTCCGGACTGGAAGGGGGGGGAAAGTGTCCGGACTGGAAGGGGGGGAAAGTGTCCGGACTGGAAGGGGGGGGAAAGTGTCCGGACTGGAAGGGGGGGGGGAAAGTGTCCGGACTGGAAGGGGGGGGGGGAAAGTGTCCGGACTGGAAGGGGGGGAAAGTGTCCGGACTGGAAGGGGGTGAAAGTGTCCGGACTGAAAGTGGTATAGCTAAAATATTCATTCCAATGCCGGCTTTGACCTCCTATAGGGGGCTGTATCAACCAAAGAATGGAATCCTAGATATCGAATACGTCACACTTTAGACCTCATTACATCGTCTTTATATTGAAGCATGACAAAATCACAAACAACGCTTTAGAGTTGAGCAAGATCACTCCTTAGGGTACTGTGACATACGATTTAGTCTGATTTTTTTTTTTTTTTTTTTTTTTTTTTTTTTTTTTTAGTGCAAATGGTGTGAAACTGCATTTTAAAAATTGTATATCTTGCAGAGTCTGTTGATCAGCATTAGTGGGATGTAATGAAGGGGTGGTACCATTTGAGAGATCTATTTATTCCTTCACAGTAAGTAACTCTTCCATTCCATTTTGCACAGCTCCCTCATAGATCACCTGGATGACAAGACCTTGCTGGTGGTGGCTGGGGACCACGGGATGACAGACACCGGAGACCATGGAGGAGACAGCGAGAAGGAAGTGACCGCAGCCCTCTTCTTGTACAGCAAAGCCCCTCTTTTTTTCTAAGCAGCCACTGGAGGTACTTTATCTGAAGATCATTGGTGGGATTCTGGGATTCTGTTGTGTTAAAAATTAAGTTCACCCCAAAGAATTTGTTGACTTTTTTCAACATAACTGATCAGGCGAACATTCAGTCTTTATTAACCCCCGGTTCACATCTGTGCGTGTGGTGCCGCTGTGGATCCGCACGAAAATCCGTGCAGCCGCACCACCCGCACAGAGAATTGCAGACCCGTGGGCGGGTGCCATTAGTTCTAATGACACGCCGCCCACACTGGGAAACGCAACCATTCTGGGAACCTCGGCTGCGTTTTCCAAAGAAGTGCAGGGACTTCTTTCCCTGCGTGTCACGGGGCACGGGAGTCTATTCAAATGAACTGACGGTCAGTCCTAAATTGCTGCTTATTGCTGCTTTTTCTACATGTTTTTGATGCATCGATTTTACACTTATTTTATGCTCAATTTGGGAGACATTATCCCTTAATAAATTCTATATAATATACTACACTATGGGCACCCTCTTGTTTAACTTCCTGGTGGAGTAAATTAATGTGCAGAAGCCCATTCAAGGTCCATTCCAGTGCCCAGAGAGGGGATCTCCTGTGTATCCAGAAAGCTGCACCCACCAAACCCTGTAGGGGACCTCTGGCTGTCTTGGATCAACGTAAAGCCCTGGAATCACCCGGTGTGCCACTTACCCTTCAGAGGGAGGATTACTTACCATCTGTTGTACCCTGATCCCCTTGAGAGGACATCTTGACCTATATTTATATGCGCAGTTAAGTTGCGCATCTGGTGAGTGCGCAATTTTACTTTTACCATCTGCACAAGCACCGGAATACTTTTGAAGCAGGCACCATCAGAGCACTCTTGTCACTCTTGGAACATTTCTCTTTATATATATTTTATAATCATTTATCCATGAACTATATTTATCACAAAGGCACTTTATTAGATATATACTTCCTAGCGCTGCACTGCATTGTAATTTTGGTTATAAGGTTTTATTTGGTTACCTATTGTGCATAGCTGCTGTTTATAGTGCGCTCACATACCATTTACCTTTTCATTGTATACAATTGACATGTGATCTGCTGTGATTGGTCACATGACACTGGCAATGGGACGGTGTAGTGATATGTCATTGGCTGTGACCTGTGGACACAGCCGGTGACAGATCGCGCCGCTGCGCGCCCATGTGAGCGGCTCGTTTTGACAGGACATCATATGACGTCCAGTCACAACGAGGAGTGTCCCTCCCGGCCATCAATCTGCTATAGGCCAGGTGGGAAGGTGTTAATTTAGATCATGAAAAGTAATTGAATGTCAAAAATGTTATTTGTTCAAGTGTATTATCTTTAGACCCCATTTAAACAAAGGTCTAATGTTTACCTGTTCAAATATCTTGAGTCAACCATTTCCTTGGGGTACATTTACTTTTTTTTTTTTTACATAACTGTTCAAATAAACTTACTTACAGGAACATTAAATAGTTATTTCCCCTAACATTAACTCTTTGTTGTAGGAGCCGGAAGCCATCCCTCAGGTGAATTTGGTCCCAAGCCTGGCGCTTCTCCTTGGTGTCCCCATCCCATACAGCAACCTGGGAGCCTTGATCAGCGATCTCTTCTGGTGGTCAGAAGATGGGGATGATGTATCAGCACTCCTTACAAACACAAAGGCGTATCACATTAACACTCAGCAGGTCTGTATGTTTAAAGATCGTAAAGTTTAGAACATTTTACTTACCTGCTGTGTGCAATGGTATTGTAGAGAGAGCAATCCCGAACCTCCACTTTGGGGGTCCCCTGCCTGCGCTCTAGACTCTTCTCCTCTGGGCGCCCCTATAGAAAGCCAATACCTATAGGTAGGAGTGCACACACGGCATACCTCAGATCTGCCCCTGATCTCTGCGCACAGGATTTGATTGATGTCTAGCAGGAGCCAATGGCCACTGCCTTTTGTGAGCAGAGATAGAGGAGACAGCCACTGCAGATGGGCGCAACGCTGGATCAAGAAAGGAGTCAGGTAAGTATAAAGAGAGGTGAGGGGGCCATACAGATAAAGGGACATTTTGTACCTTACTGAAGGGAATGTATTAAGAGAAAAAAATGCCCTGCCTTTAGAACCACTTTAAGGGCTCATGTACACTGCAGCTGATAAACTTACATTCAGGAGCTGTTCAGCGTTTGTTTTTCAGCAGCCCCTGAACTCTCCCTAATGTTTTCCTTTGTGTCCATGTGCACATCTTCGTTTACAGTCGCTTACGGGCATTTAAGTTTACAGTCGTTTTTTTTGAATGCCGAAAACTTGCATTCAGTAGTTGATTTTATCAGCGTTTTAAATGCAAAATGCTTGTAAACGTGGCAAACTGCGTTTATAATCGTTTGCGTTTGAATTTTTTTTTTAACTCTTCCAGTTCCCGATGCTGTCCAGAGCCTTTTTTCATCATGAAAAATGCATGCAAAGCGGTTTCAAGGTGCACAGATGGACAAAACACTGAACACAGGATGTTCCTACCAAGTTTTGTCACACTTTCTAATGACCAATTCATACCTCAGACCTCTCCCACCCTTGGAAACAAAAGATATGTTAATGACCATTCACACCTCAGACCTCTCCCACCCTTGGAAACAAAAAGATATGTTAATGACCATTCACACCTCAGACCTCTCCCACCCTTGGAAACAAAAAGATATGTTAATGACCATTCACACCTCAGACCTCTCCCACCCTTGGAAACAAAAGATATATTAATGACCTGCCAGGTGGGCTTAATGACTCCCTCCACCAGACACCTTCCCCACCCTTGGAAACAAAAGAAATGTTAATGAGCAACTCACACCTAAGCTAATCTCAACACATACTGCTGTCTCTGCTTCTACTCTCTGTATTTTTCTGAAACAGTCTGAAATAGTTAATAATTTACCACTTTTCAGTGCATTCTGGGCATTTGGGAGGTTCTCCTGTGCTTATCTTTAAAAAAATGCTTCTAAACGCAAACACACATAAACGCGCATAAACAGACGATTTTTTAACCTACATTTTCCAGCAGTCAGTTTCCATCGTTCAGAACTGTTCCGTGTACATGGGGCCTTAGTTGTAATTATTATTGCTCTTTAGGCATAGTAAGGGGTGCAAATTCTGTACTCCAGACAAAGAGAAGCCTAGGAATGGCTGTATCATCTAAGAGTTGGGGAGCACTGGACACTATATTGGTACGGGAGGACATGGTGGTGCATTTGGTGGGAGTTCCTATCTTTGTTGTAAATGTTCAGAGTAGATAGATGGATGAGATATTTTTAAGATGGGGGTAGGTGTGGTAGGATGAGTAGTAGATGTCTTGGTTGTTTTGCACAGGATATGGGTAATGATTGAGGAGGACATAAACAAAAAGAGCAAATGCCATCATATAGGGTGTAACCACCCATCAAAGGGGTCTCTCTGACTTGCCCTATGTTGGGGTGTGGATTATAAACCGAATATAAGAATATTAGAAAAAGTTAGCAGCTGACGAGAAAGCTGCAAAAAAAAAACTGTATGTTAAATCCAATGCAGAGTAATCAAAGTACATCAATAGTAGATGCAAATAATTTCTTATGATCGCTAGGATCTTCTGAAAGGAAGGACGTATAACATGGTGAGCACACAGTCAATCAAAAAAAATAAAAACAGTGAGTTAAATACAAAAACAAAAGAATGTCCTGCGTGTACACTTAGCTGCATCATGGTGATTACGTGCATGGCTGGGAAACCGATGTATATCAATAAGAAGAAATCTTCATAGAAGAGAGGTTGTAGTAATGTATGGAGAGTCCATTTTCAGGGTCTTCTGAGTGATTCTATCTTCACAATTAGAGTTCCTTACTGATTTCCAATAATGACATGACTTTAACCCCCCTGGAGGTATTCCCGAGTGTAGCTCGGGGTAAAGTTTCAGTACCAGAAGCGGTAACCCCCCCGAGCTACACTCGGGAATACACTGCAGCGTTGCTCCGGGATCCCTCCAGCACTTACCTTGTCCTGCGCTCCCGCGATGTCCCCCCTGCAGCATCCCCAGCCATCTCTTCCGGCCGATGCCGGCATCCGTATTCCCGGTTCCGTTCCCTGCGACGTCGGGACGTACGGGGGACAGAACCGGCAGGAAATGTAAAAATTTTAAAAAGTGACATTCACTCAATCCACTAAAATCACATCGTATAACATTCCTGTATCAAACCATTTCACATACATTTTGTCCCGAGTGCTTTGTCCGGCGCCCTGCCTGCATTTTTACTTTCTTTCTGCCTGGAAACTGAGAAACGTCCATGGCGTCCAAAAAGCGTCCCTTTAGGTCAGACGCGGTTTTAGACCGGCTAGAGAACAGCGATAGTAAATCAGAACCACTTGCAGAATTGAGTGATAATGATTCGTGGGGGAAATTCCTCATCAGACACTGAAAACGATTTTGCGACTGAGCTCAGCGATGTGTGAACTTGGCGCTCTATTTCACATTTCAGTGTTTTTGGTTTGATTATATTATTGAATTACATTTATTATATTATTTTTTATGATTATTTAGTAAATTATAATTTATGATGGTCATCAGTTCTGGATATAGAAGTAGCAAGTAAAGAAAATCCTAAGAAGTCAATATGAGTAATGAATATTTTGTATAAGAAGAATCATCATATTCAAGAGTATGATATCAAGATGGATCTGTTTCAGAATACATTTAGTAATTACTATACGGATGAAAATCTTTTTGAGTCTAAAATAGTATTACCTTCATTATATCTCATCCTCAGCATGAATGGTTTGCTGATATGAAAAATTGACAATATGTTTCCAGCCTCAATCGGCCGATATTATTTTAATGGAGTGACATCTATTAATGGCTAATTTCCATCAACACGAGTCCATGTTATCACATGATCAAGATTCCAGATATTTATACGCCATCTATTGTTTGAAGATTCATATAACATTTTTTTATACAAATGAGAAAATCTCCTTCATTGAAAATGAATCACTAGATATCCTTTCTCTATTTAACCCCTTCAAGTCCGAACACTTTCCCCCCCTTCCTGTCCAGGCCAATTTTCAGCTTTCAGCGCTATCTCACTTTGAATGACAATTGCACGGTCAGGCAACACTGTACCCATATTAATTTTTAGCATTTTTTTGAGACAGATAAAGCTTTATTTTGGTGGTATTTATTCACCACTGGGATTTTTTTTTTTTTTTGCTATATAAATGAAAAAGTCCAAAAATTTTGATTAAGTGTTTTTCTTATAAAATTTTGCAAATAAATAATATTTATCATAAATCTTGGCCAAAATTTATTCAGTTATCTTTTTAGTAAAAAAAAACCCAAATTAGTTTATAACCAAAAATTATAATTTTTAAACATTTTTTTTTTTTACATTTTTATTTTATTTTTTTTATTATTATTTGTTTTTCTTTTTTTACATATTGTCACCCTATTAGTACAGTGTCACCATGGTGATACTGTACTACTTGTGGGGGGTGATGAAGATTTTTTTTTTTTTACACTGATTGCTTTTACACCCATAAAGGCTGTAAAAGCAATCATTTCTCCTTCTCTCTGGCTGCATTCTTGCAGCCATTAAGAAATACTGTGTGAGCTGTGATTGGTCACAGCTTGCCACATGGTACAAGGCTGTTGTGAATAGCCTTGTACCATGTGACCTCTGTGATCATCCACAGATTTCACACGTAGTAAGCAATGATGTCAGAAGTGACATCTTGCTTACTACTCTTCATGTGATCACTGATTGGGACCACAGAGGTCCCGTACGACGATCGGTGTCGGAGGACACAGCGGGCATCAGATCACGGTGCTGCACGCTCCCAGGGAGCACGCACAAGCAGGGGCTGGAAGGCCATTTATAAATAGCCACCCGCCCCTGCACTGCCACCATATATTTACAACGGCCAGACGGGAAGTGGTTAAATCCAATTACGGACTTCATCGGGGTATTTACCTTACATTACATATTTAAATATTTATGAATTTTCTTCATCTGACTAATATGTTTAATTTATTTATTTCATTTATTTTAGATTTAGCTTTGTTTTGCCATTAATAGATGTCACTCCGTTAAAGTAATATCGGCCGATTGAGGCTGGAAACATATTGTCAATTTTTCATATCAGCAAACCATTCATGCTGAGGATGAGATATAATGAAGGTAATACTATTTTAGACTCAAAAAGATTTTCCTCCGTATAGTAATTACTAAATGTATTCTGAAACAGATCCATCTTGATATCATACTCTTGTATATGATGATTCTTCTTATACAAATTATTCATTCATATTGACTTCTTAGAATTGTTTCTACTTGCTACTTCTATATCCAGAACTGATGAGCACACATATGAAGTGAAAAGATGTATCCTCTTAATGTCATGTCATTATTGGAAATCGGTAAGGAACTCTAATTGTGAAGATAGAATCACTCAGAAGACACTGAAAATGGACTCTCCATACATTACTACAACCTCTCTTCTATGAAGATTTCTTCTTATTGATATACATCGGTTTCCCAGCCATGCACTTAAATCACTATGATGCAGCTAAGTGTAGACTCAGGACGTTCTTTTGTTTTTGTTTTTAACTCACTGTTTTTATTTTTTTGATTGACTGCTCACCATGTTATACGCCCATCCTTTCAGAAGATCCTAGTGATCATAAGATATGATCTGCAACTACTATTGATGTTTCTTGATTACTTTGCATTGGATTTAAAACATCGTTCTTTTTTGCAGTTTGCTCTAGTTAGCTGCTAACTTTTTCTAATGATTGAGGAGGACGTAAGAAAGTCAGTGGGAGAGCAGAGAGGACCACTGTGGGTAATATTTCAATAAGAGTTCAGAAATCTATGAGGGGGATGAGTTTTTAAGTGTTTGGAAAGCAGAGCTTAGTAACTTAAATGGAATTCTTAGACTGATGGGAAATTAGTAAAGAAACTGGCAGTGAAGGGCACAGATGATGAGCAGAGAAGGTGGAAGAGATAAGTCTCACAGCAACATTCGTGATAGGTTGTAGGTAGGGAGTCACAGGGACACTACAATTTGCTGAATACTGGATACCGATACTATGGTAACTGCATTCAATACTTGTCTCTGGAATCTATTTTAGAAGCAGGAATTCTAAAAGCTAACAATGCTTACTAATAACACTGTTCAACAAATTTTTATTTTTTGCCAGTTTTGGAAACAAAAGGATCCATTTCTTAATGAATTTCACATTCTGAGTTCAAATATAACAATGAAATTTGTCAATTGGCTCTAGTTTTTCTGTAAACGGAAAGTTTTCTACTATAGGCGTAATGACTACATAATGCACAATAATTATATAGATAGATGTCTTTCCACAAATATAAAGCAAGTGATATTGACTACATAACAAAGCCTAAATGGCATAATATATTGCATAGGATTACCAAGAAAAATGATAGCCATAAGCTAAGTTGAATCATTTTAATACTTAGGATTCTCACTAGTTTTGTCTTCAGTTTGTGTCGGTTTTGCTTCTCTTGGCTTTTCTCTTGTATTCGAGGAAAGGGCAATCTCTTACAACTGCACGTGACTACACGCTTCAGGTTCTTCCTCACTTGACTCAACCACGAAGGATTCTGGTGCTTTAGGAATTGGTAGCCCCTCTCCATGAGGAACTGGACGTATTGCCGATGGAATATTTGGATAGTGCACAGATAACTTTTTCTTCTTATTTAGCCCTTTTACAATTGGAGGCACCATACAAAAGTAACAATTACTAACATGATCTGTTGGCTCTCTCCAAATCATTGGCACAGCAAAAGGCATAGATGCCTTTTTTCCATTCAACCGTTGCTCCAGTGCCGTCCCATAAGAATTGCAGCATATATGTGGTGCCCAGCTCTTGTCCTGGTCTCCTATCTTGCAGCCAAAATACAAGTTGTAGGCTTTCTTAATCATTCCTGTTATCCTCCTTTTTTGTGAGATAAAAGTTATTTCACCGCAGATATAGCAGAAATTATCTGCTTTATTCACACAAGTTCGAGGCATTACTGAGTAGCCTATATAAGCATAAAACGAAATGTAAAGACGCTGTCCAACTACAATCAGCTACAGATACTGCAGCTTTTATGCAGTGAAGTGATGCAATTAAAGGCTAATATTGCATCATCTCAGTATACATGACATTTTCTATTGGTCACCAGTATCAATTGCGCAATATGCAGCTGAAGTTGCATCATAATTTTGAATGGCTTACGTCATTAGATGGGTGAATATATCATGGAAACTAGAGCCAATCAACATTTTTTAGGGTCATTTTCGTTTTCAGCACCCCAAAATTATGTAAGATTAGCTAATTTTATGCCCAAAACTTTTTACCTGTTGAACAGTGTAATTAAAGTAGTCTTTAACCTCCCTAGCAGTCTGATTATGTCCATATTTCTGTGCTGAAAGCGGTACATTTGTTTGCATGGAAATATGTTGTTTTTTTATTGCAGGTCTGAAACAATTGAGTCCTGTCCATGATACTTTTTTTATTTGCACTAACATACAATTTTGAGGACAAGCTTTCGGGGAATGTCCCCTTCTTCAGGTCCAAGCAGTACTGATCACAAAGTTTTAGCAGAATGTTAGAAGATATGTACGGGATGAAAAAAAAAAGGGAACAGAGATAAGACCCAGCAAAAGCAAAGTCTGGGGGTGGGGACAACACACAAAGGCAGTCATGCTTGAGATAAAAGTCATAAAACTGGATAATGATTGAGGAATTCCATGTCCAAATTCAGGCCGTTATCTCTTGTGTCAAATAGAATTATCATTCTTGGTTCAAAAGTTTTCTCGTTCCTGAATAGATTTGAAATTTCCGTTAGGAACTAAAATATTGAGGTCTCCCAAAGTGTGGTCCGGTTGTGCAAAATGGTGTCCCACAGTCCTGTAATTGTAGGCCTGTAATTTTTAGGAATAACTCCCTGAAATCTGTCCTACAAGAGTCTAGTAAACATCCCGGGGAGGATAAAACTTGAAACACAAAATCATAAATTATAATTTAATAAATAATCATAAAAAAATAATATAATAATAAATAAATTTAATTCAGTGATATAATCAAACCAAAAACACTGAAATGTGAAATAGAGCGCCAAGTTCGCACATCGCTGAGCTCAGTCGCAGAATCGTTTTCAGTGTCTGATGAGGAATTTCCCCCACGAATCATTATCACTCAATTCTGCAAGTGGTTCTGATTTACTATCGCTGTTCTCTAGCCGGTCTAAAACCGCTTTTGACCTAAAGGGACGCCTTTTGGACGCCATGGACGTTTCTCAGTTTCCAGGCAGAAAGAAGAGTAAAAATGCAGGCAGGGCGCCGGACAAAGCACTCGGGACAAAATGTATGTGAAATGGTTTGATACAGGAATGTTTTACTATGTGATTTTAGTTTAGTAGAAAATGTTAGTTTAAAAATTTTCAAATTTCCCGCCGGTTCTGCCCTCCGTACGTCCCGACGCTCACAGGGTTCGGGACACGGAAGGCGGATGCAGGCATCAGCCGGAAGAGATGGCCGGGGACGCTGCAGGGGGGACATCGCGGTAGCGCAGGACAGGGTAAGTGCTGGAGGGAATCCCTGAGCAACACTGCAGTGTATTCCCGAGTGTAGCTCGGGGTTACCACTTTTGGTGCTGAAACTTTACCCCGAGCTACACTCGGGAATACCGCCAGGGGGTTAAAGGAGTACAGCCGAAGCATTTTTGGATGTACGTCTGTGGATCAAGCCTGCTGTCGGCCGACGTCACTCAGCCGGTCCAGGCTGGGGAAAGATCCCGACTTTAAAGTCGGGATCCACCCCAGAGTCTTGAGCGGCTCCTGGCTCTGCCTTTCAGCGAGCTGCCTAGAGCCTGAGCCAGCTGCACCCTCCCCCTCCACAACCCAGCGCTCCAGTGAGTGCTGCTGGGGCAGAGCAGACAGTGGTGACTGACAGTCGCCGCTCTATGCTCAGAGCAGCTGTGAGACCTCAGCGGTCATGTGATCGGTGAGCTCTCACACTTGGAGCCGGCATGGGACAGATGCATCATCGGACCTATGCTGCATCCACCTAGGTAAGTATAACGGGAAAACAACCCCAAAATCCCTACTTCTCTTTTAAGGCCTTGTTCACACAGGCATATGTAAAGCGAAACTAAACTTATCAATTTAACAGTTTTAAACACAGTTCTATTCCCAGCATGTTGGGACGCTACGTATCACATTTGCTTGTGCTCTCAACTGTCAGTCCATCAGATGGCTGGTGACTGATCACATGTGCAGCACTATGGCAGTTGCAGATCAAACAGAGGCTAAGATGGGAGCTTTCTTGGCAGGAAAGGATAGGAGGGTTTAGTTCTGCTTTAACCTCTTCACGCCGGCCGAATGCAAATGTGCGGCCTCCCGGTGTCTGGGCCTAGACGCTGAGCGGCCGCATATTTGCGTTCTATTAAAAAAGGACATATGTGCCGAGAGCGCCGCGCCCTGCGCGCTCCCACGCGCATGTCTAGTACTCACGGAAAGGTCCCGATCGCCTCTGTCGATCGGGACCTTTCCCGATCATGTGACGGCGTGTCACGGCGGTCACATGTCCCTAAACCCCGCCCCACCTCCTGGCTTCTGAAAATCTTAAAGTTCTGGGAGGCGCTGGCGTGAAGGGGTTAAGCATATCCCTATGCAGGCAATCCTATTCATGTCACTTGGGACGCAGACATAGCCGCTGTTCCCAATTCGATAGCTGTGTGGGTGCAGGTCCCTGAACACAGACAGTATGCATTCAGGGGCCTGCACAGATATCAAATTGAGAGCAGTGGCCGTCTCCGTTCAGCTGCTGTGTCCCAACTGACATGAATGTGACTAGCTGCATGGGGATGCATGTAACACCTGTGCATTCCCATGTGGGTAAACACGGCCCTCGCATGGGCATATGTTT